ATGCCTAAACACATCACAAGCCAATGTACTTTTCAGCAAAAGAGGAAAGTCATTCCAGCCTTTGAAATGTGGGTCGTCATCCCCTGCAATAAAATGCATATACTCGTATACTACATCTGTGCTTTGGATTTTAGCAAGTGCTTTCAATATTGTGTTCTCTGACCTGGCAGGCCCTGAGACCAATACTCAAACACTGGAATTCAAACACACTGAGAAAAAGAATTTTGAAGTACTAGTATTATAATTAGCCCTAAGTCATCTTTCATATATAAAACCTCCATAACTTTCTTCACAATTTTCAAAATTTTTGATCACGACTCGCAACCAATAAAAAATTATGTGCACTTCATCTGTAATCATCAAAAAAGGTATAGAAATATATATAGAAATACACAAAATGTTGAATCCAAAAATACAGCATCTAAAGGATAAATACATGTATTGTGGGATATCTGTTTATTAAAACTTAAATTGTCATATCTCCCCTTCTATTTCATTTCTGATAGCTGATTATTTCACAATCCAGCTTGCTGACAATCTATCAAAAAAGTCAGCAGTACATATTTGATATAGAACAGCTGGTCGTCAGTGTTTCTTGAATCACTTAAAGCAATAGCAAAGCGCATAATTTTAATAGAAACTGGCATTCACAATGTGAATCAAAGACAAATACGTCAATATCTCACTTTTCCTCCAATTAACAAAAATGTGAACCGCTTCAGTAAAAATTGCAAAATTTGGTAGCAGCAAATATTTTCTGGGATTCTACGATATTGAGTATCAGTGACTTTTGCAAATTTGGTCTTAATAAATGCCATAAAATCCTTTAATTGTTAGCATTGAGAACGGATTACTGTCAGTAACGATAACCATCAAGTATTTCATAACATTGTCTCAAAACAGCTTTTTTCAGACATAAATTTGAAATAAATTTAAGAAGGTCCTATACATGTGCATACAAACATACATGTACAACAGCTCAGCAGTTTTAAAGTACAAGCTGCCCACACACCCACCCAATATAAACACAGGAAGTTATTATTTGACACCAATGCTGCTGAGTTGGAAATTTAAAGAGAAAACAACAGGGAACATAATGAACAGAGGATTCAGTTCAATGCCAAGTGCACTGAAGGAAACTGCTGTGACAGGAAGAAAAGTTTGATGTTATTTGTGAGCCTACTACCCCCCCCCCCCCTCCCCAGGGTTAATACATGAAATATTGGTAATGTACATATATAGTCAGCTAAATTTATGATAATGTTTGTATCTTTACTTGAAAATAAATATGTGTCTTTGATGAAATTTTGATTTTATTAGTTATTATCTATGACTGCATAGTTACTTGAAAGTTCAAAAGAAGAAATTCGGGATATATCCATTTTCATTATGTTATGTCAAATGGCCACCACTATGAAGAAATCACAACATCAAAATTTCTATAGAACCAACTTTGAGTCTCTTTTTTTAGTTTTCTTTTTGTCACTTATTCAATGTTTTTAAATTTCCCATAATTTGTTGATCCAATTAATGTAACCAGTAATACTACATTTTACAACTACGAACTACATAATTTAATATAAATAAACATTAAATATACAGCTCAGCTTAAAACACAGCTTAGTCTAAATCTAGATATTTGAATCGGTTAAAGTAAGGTGATATCTAGCACGATATGTAGAAGACCTGCGTTTTTGATTCAAAACTGAATAAACAGACTTAAATACCTATTATAACTAAATCAAGATCACACCAACTGTGACAACTGTTCATTAATTATTATTGGCTAAAATGAAATCATCATACATGATTATATTGA